GTTAATATAAACAATCAGAGCGATCACTCACGTACAAAGACGACAAAACAATCACTGGTGGTCAACAGCATCGCGAAAAGTTAGTAGAGAACTTTTCAGAACTCCTAAATAGACCAAAGCCACTGAGCGCACCGGACATCGAAACAATGCACACAGACTACCCTACAAATGTTACCATACAAAAAATCGAAGAGATTAGCAAGGTTACCAGATGAATTATGAGTAGGAAGCAGCAGGACCAGACAACATACAAGCTCAGGCACTGAATTCGGGTATAGATTCGTCAGGAAGAACAAGTACAAACAGAATGGAAAGAGGGATACCTCATCAAAACACCAAAGAAAGGAGATCATCCTAAATGTGAGAAATACACAGGAATCACACTACTACCACTACCATGCCAAATGTTCAACAGTACCTCTGAACTAAACCGTACATAAAGCGGAAACACAGCGTTCAGATCAGTAAGCTGGCTTCTGTAATGCTAGATCGAATCGAGAAACTGTCCATGGTTTTTCATTAATCGATTGAATACAACTCATCGTCATACATAAATTCCAATGATTATGCGAACATGTTCGATACTGTGGATAAGAAGACCTTGAGAAATCTATCACACTATCAAGTACCTGAGAACATCGTAGCCATCACACGGAACCCCTATAAGAGACTGAATTTCACAGTCCCGTATAGAAGGCAGCGTACAAATCCATTCCCAGTGAGCACTAGTCATAGATAAGGCTCCCTACTCTTATATTTGTCTTTGTTCCGTTTTTAAATGGACTGTGAAAACTTACTCATTTCAGGAAAAACAAAACAATGAAAGCATTCGATACATCAAGATGCTTCGAACTCTACAGGTAAATTTACCCTGTTGTCTCATACACAGCAATAAATGCAAACGAAAGCAGTCAATGAAGCAACCGATTCCACAAAAATAGGGCTCAACACAAACAACGCAAAACACACAATCACAAAAAGCACAAAACGCAGTACCAATAAAGTCACACTCGCTACTGAAGCTCTCCTCTGCAATACATGCAATTATTCACGAACCTCAACACCATCATCCACAAACTAAGATACAGATGTGAAGGTACGCATTGACAGGACATCGGTATTCATTACTACATCTGATGAACATCACGAACTCAAAACAACTGTTACTCGACAAGAAAGTCTGAGTTTTCACTAGTGTCCAAACAGTTCATTGTATGGAGCTTAAACCTCGAAAACCCTCCACTAACATCACCAAAACATTACAAGTATTCATAAATAGCTATTTAGAGACCTCTGATCGGCAATCTATGTCCCAAGGATGGTAACAGGTCCAGTAAGTAATTCATAGCTTGAATTTTAAAATGAATAGTCGTCTTTTCTGATGACATAAATCGGAAATGATACATTGGTTATCAGTTAATTAGCAAAGCAACTGAATGTTTTATCAGAACGCCATCACAAGACATATTTTATCAAACATTGTTTTTCAAAATATAAAAAAAGAGAAGAAAGTTAATTAACAGTCGAAATTAAAGAGAACAATCTGATTTTTTTCTATTTTATAGATTACAAACGAACAATTGAGATTAGAAGAAATTATATGAAAACAATACGACTACTGAAATACAATAAGAAAACTTCATTTCGATTTCATAGTTTCTTACAAGCTGTTTACAACCGAAATTCATAAAGAAATATAAATTAATATTAGTTGATGAACAGTGATGACTGAAAAATCGAAATGGCAAGGATCATCGGTATACATACATATGATATTTCAATAATAATGCTATTGTGAGCAAAGAATGAAAAACTACGAAATAAAAATGAATTTATGTTATTCTGCGTTAACGTTATTCAAACTCATAAATGTATGTATTAAAAAAAAACATAATTTGAATAAAGCAAGAACAAACATTGATGCAGAATAGTATGAATTCATATTATTTCGAGGTTTCTCGTCAGCTGCTTACAAACCAAAATTGTGATAGAATTTTTCACATGGAGATAGCTGACGAGAAACCTCCAAATAATATGAATTCATACTATTCTGCATCAATGTTTGTTCTTGCTCTATTCAAATTCATAAAGGGAACCAATTGCATGAAATTTCCGAAGAAACATAATTGCTATTACATTGTGTTCATAGAATAATTCTGAGGATTTTGACCAGACGATTGAGTAACGAGCAAAATTTTGAAATTAAAACATGAGGTTTGTCGGCTAACAGTGATGTTAGATTAAAAAAAAGTGACGAAATCAACCAGAATTCCAACTTCAAACCATGAGGAATCTAAATGTTAGTAACGCTTCAAGGAGCTTACTTCTGATGATAATATACAATAATACATAATAGGCATCTACTAGATTGTAAGAGAGAAAGAATCTATTTCATATCAGTACTAGCAATTGACAAAACCAAAATATATTTTTATTGTGCACAAATTACGCAAGTGGCTTCTTTTTAATAACTTCGGTACATTGAGCAGATAATAAGATTACATGCTCAGAAATGGATAATAATAATACAAGCTACTGAAAATTAGTAAGTAATATGAACAATACACGAAGAACTAAATTAGTAGGGAATGAGATGAAAATTGAAAAACAGGACTAATTAATATATTATTATGAACCACACATTGACTAGTACTGTTCAACTTTATTGAAGGATCCAATTATTGATGTTATGTGACTTTCACAAATGATAGATAATAAGTCTATCTTTCATAGTTTACTAAATATTTCTCACTTTTAAGTTAAAAATTTAATGGTAATTTGTCAATATAGGAATGATGTGAATTCGGATGTAGGTTGCTACTGAAGTTCAATTATTCACGTTTGCATCTTTGCTGTCTCAGCATATCTTAATTATCAAGTCCCACTGACATGCAGATCCTTGATGAATAAACATTTCGACCAGTTCATTCAATTTACTGTACTAAACAATCACGTTTTGCAAAGATTTACCGAAAATAGTATTTGATAAGACAGATTGTGTACAAAGATTTCGTCCAACAATTCTTTTATCATATTATGTTAAACTTTCAAAACAAAAGCAACTATAATCTCAACGATACATGTAATTACGCTCTACATTTATTAGCTATTTATTTATAAATTATAAGGTAAGGTACACTGCAAAACTTATTCTGGACTAGTAGGCAAAATCCTACTCTTACAACAGAGGGTTTGTTTACCTGCATAACTTCATTTATCTACCTTTTTCCTCCTTTAGAAATATATTACTCCTTTTGTGCATACTACAGTTTTCTCAATAATAAATCTCACAGTAAGTGGGTTGTCAATATAATTCAGTAATTTACGATGAACAAAAAGCCTGAAACAAATATGTATAAACCTAATAAGCCATATTATGTGAGCACATTGATATGAAACTAAGATGAACGGTAAATGAACTGAAATAATGGTAACATCAATGATGTAATTTCACTTTACGCAGTTTGGATTATCAGTCAGTCAGTCAGCTACAACGCAGGACCAGGCGTTGATATTTCTGACTAAAATTCGATTAGTCTAGGTTGGAATATGAACATTCCGATGTGTTATGTGAATTGCCTAGATTCATTCGACATAATTAAAAGCTCAATAGCATAGAAGGTAGATAGAATAGGAGACAGTTTTCAAGCTTAGTCAAATGACATATTCCACACAAGCGTCAGTGCTACAGTAAGATGTAAAGAATTATTAATATAATGGTGTAACTAGACAAAATATCTTCAAATCAAAGTGAATAAATAAAACTACTGCAACAAACAATTTTCATCATCCTTTCCTGAACTAGTTTTTAGTTTGCCACTTGAATTAATCTTTCCATACAGACTTTTTTAGTAACTATGTAGTGTATGCTACTTATATCGAGAGATATGAGTAGTATGTAACACCAATCGCAAGTGGAAACCCTGGTAGCAGAGGGCTAGGAAGGCCAAGTTGAAGAGAAAACAGAGACGGAATTAGAAAGAAATTGTGGATCGGAAGAACCACACAGAATGTGGAAGACAAATGATGAAAATTTGCAAATGAAGTATTCAGCGTATGGTCCTTATATATTTGTACTACAATACGTAAGCACCATCTAATAACCATGTATAAAGATAGTAATAATAGTTGAATTACAAATCACTTGTGTAACTACTACTCCAATAACAAAATAGAATTAACAATTACCACTTAATTTTAATGATTTATTTTATTTCCATACAAATAGGGGCTAAAATAATGTCACTGGGTTATAGGAAAAAACAAAATGTCAAATAAACAAGTACACAACAAATGTCTGAGGAATCAGACAATCTTCAACAAAACAACCAGTCGCAACTACAATTTTTTTATAAAACCAAAATAACACTACTAACTTAACAAACTAGTAGTACTACTGGAACGTAATGATTTTGCCCGAATAATTCAACTTTATCCTTAAGAAGTGTTTATTTTCCAATGTGATCGATGATGATTACTTCACATACTTTGTTATAACTCTGTTACACTAAAATGATTATCAATCTTATACGATAAGAGATAACAAATATCATAATATCAAAAACAGAAAACAATAAAGAATGGAAATAAACTAAAAAACGATAGTTCAAATGCAAGCAATAATAATCTATTGAAGAAAAACATGAATTATGAAAATGAAAGATTATTAACTCAACAAAATATAATTTCAATATTAATTAAACTGGACAAAATAAAAAAAATTAAAGTGAAGAACGAAAACACGAAGAAAAACGGAAAAGATAACGTTAAATAAACGATAAGTAATCAGATATTTTATCCTCTCTTTCACTCTCTTAGAAGTGTTCTGTTTTATACAAATGTAATTTTTATAACGTAATGTGTATGTTTCTATGTGTGATTGGTAAGGATCACTGTAGTAAAAATACATGATGGGAAAACACAAGTATATATATATATATATATATATATATATATATATATATATATATATATATATAATGAAAGACTAAAATTTTAATATGGAACTGATACACAAATGATATAATATTAAATAATTCGTTCTAAATGTTTGATATATATGTGACAATAATTCAACTAATGAACAACTCCATTATTTAAATGAATCTATTATTCTGAATTTTTCGATCTTTCTGAAACAACTACTACTTCAGATTGTGGTTGTTGTTGATTTTTCGAAGATATCAATGATTTCTGACCATTTTCTGATTTCGGTGGTGAACCAGACTCTTCAGTGATTTCTGTCAAGTTACTAGTACGTACAGGACGTGAATGTGAAATAGCAGTACGATTAACGCTTGGAGAAATTAATGTTGGAGGTTGAGGATTTGGAAGAGCAATTGAATTTGGTACATTGCTATTAGGAGATAATGCACTACGATCAATTGATTTTGATGTTGACGTTCTATGTAATAATGATTTTGACGAATCAGTATCTTCCTTATTTACATCAAGTAAACCTTGTAGACCAGTCACCGCTGTTGATGATGATGGACATTTCGGTCGTAAATGTGTTGATTCACTGAGTCGTGTATTTGCTTTTGTTAAATTATTGTTGATTGTAACACCTTTTGGATCAGATGATGATACTACTGATGAAGGGAGAACAGCAGTAGTGAACGGTAATATAGCAGACACTAATGAAGTTAGGGAAAATGAGGTAAGATATGATGATGCAGATTCATCGCTTTTTACATGATCAAACGCTTGATTAAACTGGATAGATTTATAATCATTATTACTATTTTTATCACTGTACGATAAGGATGGGGATCCTATTACTAAATGATCTAAAGATCGTGCTCTTAGTTGATTATTCAGCAAATATGTTGATGAATTGAATCCAAATCGGCTGCAAAACACAAGAACAATGACAAAAAAGAAACCTAAGTTGTACATAATGGTAACAAATATAGTAAGACAATATACTTTTTCCTAGAAAACATACCTGAAAGTAGTTTATTAATCGGACCATGAGTGGAGATTTTAACGAGCAAATGTTTCAATCCCAAGAAACAATAGTTCTAACTGATAACGGATAACAGTTGATCAAGGAGTGTTACAAGAAATAAATTACTAATTGACTGCTTTATATTCCTATTTTAAGAGTCTACTGAAAAATATCCGATATTAAATGAAGAAATGAATGCTCTCAAGTAGTGTGTTAGTCCTGATTTAAAGTTCAATCGTGCCGACAGTAGTCATAGAAGAATATTACAGATAGTTCACAAAGAAAAAAACCAGACAAATAAATGACTGCAGTCCAACCACAATAATTCCCCTAAAAAGACAAGACTTCTAATATTCTTAACCAAGAACTAGATATTTTGTAAACAACTATCATGGATTATATTCTATTTTCAAATAACCTTATAAGTTATATGAAAAACATATACATCTGAAGAAACACCGAAGTATTAGCATTGAAACTGAATATTCATGAGTAGTATGAATCCAACATTTAACAAACCAAACGAAAAGTTACGTAAAATTATTACAAAACTAACATATTCACAACGTACACCACAGATAAAATCACCGAAGGAATAAAAAATTCGAGGTATTAAACTATGTATTTATTAAATGGTTAATTCAATTCAAGTGTATTTATTCCACTGATTATCTTCAGAACTAAGAGTAAAATTAAACTGACATTTGTAATGTGATCACAGGAAATAAAATTGGCAACCATTTGGGTTCATTGGTCGTGTATCAGTTAACTATTTTGATTAAATACACCATGATATAGTTGTTACAATATATCTTGTTTCTTAGTGGTTTATTTAGCAAATGTGTTTTGGTTAGAGTAAATAACGTAGTTTAAAAAAAGCGCTCAGTTGCACAACATAAATTCATTTAGTCAATAAACACAGCCCCAATATGTGTGTGCTAACATGTTTAATCCCTATGCAAGTCCAACAAACTAAGTTCAGATTTATTCTCTGAAGAAGTGACTGACACTAAGTCACGAAACGTCAGAAAATCCAATTTTCTACTCATTGGGATATTACAAATATTTTATTTTTATTTATAAGTTCAAATAGGTGTACTCCAGTTTCATTGTGATAAGCTTTACATGTGGACTGGTGATACCAAGCAGCTCCCTAAACGAAAGCAGGTGTAGGGTGAACCGAACATGTAAACCAATGAGTTGCATCTCAACGAGTAAATTGTAAGCTCTTGAGAATTGGAGTCTAGTTAAATAATAAGAAATCCTTAATGCTAGAAACAGAAGGGGAGAAAAGAGATTAGAGCAGAATGACATGGATTCATCTCAATTCACCGAATTTTTTCAACTTATTATGATCATGTAGTCAATAGAAAGAGTTTTAAAAAATTTCATGATGTAAATAGTTTAAGATACATTGGTAACATTTGTAATTTCGACTTTCAAATATTATAAACTGTAAGCAGCTGAAAAGAACCTAAAGAAATCAACTGAATAATCTTATTCAACTCATATACGTTTTTCGCTCTCTTTGCACAAGATAATGCAAGAAACTATGGATAACGAGTTCAAAATATCTTCAAATTGATGACATGAGAAAGCAATCATATATCAAAACCACTTTCAGCAAAATTACTTACATATTATTTACATCTTATAGTAAAATGTTACAATTCCCTCGTTAATGACATTAGTGTATTATTTTTGATGAATTATAATTACTATTATCCTAATACTTGATCTACTTCAGTTCAATTATATGCTAAACACTGAGTAATAATGGACTAGATGTACGAACTACCACTAAAACTGTTTTATTATTACTACTGAAGTAAAACCACCTGAAATACGGTACAATAATCTTTCATGCAGAAATTTATTGAACGGCATAATTTATTTGAGTGATTAGTTAGTTCGCAATTTGAAGTGCTTTAGTAGGTGAAGATTCGTTGAAAATCAAGCAACACTGAATAGCAGGTACTTATTTTGTTCTTATATTGCACTTATCATGAAATAGGAAGACCTTAGATCCACAATCTTGAATATGATATCATAAGTTTGAAACATTTGCTCAGAATTCCTTTATTCTGAATAATTCTCCAGTGGATTTCACAACCCATAGATGAGAGATATCTTTATCTAATTTTGTATTTACAGTATTCTTTCAATTAGTGTGATCTCTTTTTAATTCTCTATTTCTTATGTTAGTCGGACGCAAAGTAGAATTTGTTACATGTGTACATCAATTCAATTTGCCACACCCCATGAGTACAGTAAGACTAAATTGTCAGGGTATATCTCAGAATAATAGCGGTAGTAACGGTATTAGTGGTAATAAAAAGGATTAGGTATCGAAGATACAATTTGAAGAAATATAAACTGATGTAATAATAAATCATGAGGAATTTAGAGGCTAGGGATCCAAGGGAATAAGAAGTGTGAATGTACTTACGCCATTACGAGTGATTTTGAGCAATATCACTTAAAATCTCTAACCATTAGTCCCGATGACCACGAGGACCCCAATCAGATAGTCTCCGCCTACCTACACGGCTCAATCCAACAGTCATTCTTCTCGTGAACTGGCCCGATGTCTTAGTTTGTCTGCTCCTAACCTTTATTCTAACCTCCTAAATCAGCCATCATCGCGAGTCCTATGTCAGTCTATCTAGTTATCTGTTCAATGAATAATTAAAATATTAAACTGATAATAATAATAAATTCAATAATTGTTTTGTAGGTAAATTATACAATATTCTACTAATTAAATAACCATATATTACAATGTCGTGTTAAGAAAAGTTCATTGATCACGTGGTTACATTCACAAATACTTATCTAAGTTTTAAAATATTACAACTTTAAATAGGCTTACTGAAGCAGTTGAATGCAGCACAATTATACGTGTAACCAATAACAGAAAAAAACTAGTAGACTTAATAGAAGCAGTAATTCAGTGCAATCTACTACTCCACACAAACACATACACCGACTTTTTTTCTCATAAAAAACAAAACAAATAAAAATAAACGACGGTACGCCTAACTCTATAATTTTAGGTACACTAATAAAAAAAGTAACTCACAATCAGTAGTTCAATAAAGTTTTATTAACTTATATCTACTGAGTTAAACTAAAACGTCTATTTGTATGTGATAAACTATGATAATTAGAAGTATCCGAATTAATGTACTAAGACTCCTCAAAATAGTGCAAATCAAGCCGGGTAGAACTAGATGAGCACAAATGAACATGTTGTATTTGGAATAAGTGAGGAATCAAGTACCAGGATATACTTAGTTCGTACAAATACCACATAAACATAAATGGTGCACAACAGTTAAATGGACAAACAAATAAAAATATTATACTAAATCTTACAGTAAACCAACAAATTTGAATGGGAAAGATAATAATTATGTGTGAAATGCTCTTTTTAAAACAATAAATTAAATGCATCGATTATTATTATTATTGTTTAACGGTAGAATTAAATGAAACAACCTACTATAAGATTTTTAATGGTTGATAAATACAGCTAGTTTTGAAAGAAACAATTAAAGAAAAGAATGTACAACTAAGTGAATATTTTCTACTGTTTAGTTGAATATATATATATATATATATATATATATATATATATATATATAAAACAGCATTTAAAATAAAAAGGTTAAAGAATTGCTATTTAAATATTTCACATTAAGTGATTGGAGGTAGTTGCCAGGAAAGCTTATTTGAAATAGATTTTATGATAGTTGGTACTCTTCAATTCCTTCAAACTTACAGGTACGGTTTATTGATAAGTGCAAACTAACAGACAACCTAAAACCATGATTTCCTGTTGATTAAATAATGTTAAATCATTTAGACTACTTGCTTCTTTGTAATTTGTTCAACAGAATTCGATCAGCACTAGGAAAAGTTAGACAAACACGATATTGATCACTATTCAGTGATCAGTCATTTGTAAGTATTTCAGAGTTATGAATACATGATAAATAATAAAGCGAATTCAGTCAGGAATCCCAAGTATAAAAATAAGCATACAGAAAATACACTTAGTTGTTTTACATGTTCAGATCTTGTTAAAACCTAGTGAAAATTTGTAAAAGGTTTATGATAGAAATTAAATAATTCATGAATTATGAACAAGATATCGATCTATTTCTTGAGTGCCTAGTGCACATAAAACGCATGCGATACCATCAGGAACAGATGATACTTATTAAGATATCAAGTGTATTGAATAGCAATTCTTAATAAGTTTATTCATTGTTACGCGTTAACATTGGATTGACATTATCCAAAATTGTCGTAGAATCCACGATCAGAAAAGTAAACAATTAATTTGAGTTATTCATACCTACAAGATTATGTAGTATACACTGAGGCCTATCACGGTGATGCATATGATTGTTTTTACTTTACCGGACTGAAGTAGATCGACAGAACGTGTAATTCTGTCAGCTTATGATTCACGGTTGGTTGTGTGATTCACAAAATGATTTTAAAAAATTATGAAATAGTAGATTAATATTCTGTAAAGTAATTTGACAAAGTTCTAATATGTTTATCAAAAACAGTTAGTATAGTGTACAAAAGATTTCAAGCGGAATGATATAACATCAAATAACAACAAACTTAATATTAATTACAGTGTTTCTTTAAGGTTGTAAGGAAAAAAAGATTATATAGAGGAGCGTACAACTATAGAAACTCATCGATAACGTGTGCTTAAAAAAATTAAAACTTGAATATGATTTATAGTTGACCTATTGTCAATTTCTATTGCTTTCATGTCCCAATAGTATACACTTCTATCAAGTACTTCTGTAGATCATAACAAAACTTCGAATATACAATAAACGTCTGTACATAACAATACTACTATTACTAATATCGATTAAAAACAAAACTTTTCTAAATTGTAATGTATTCCCTTATGTTTTCGTCAGTTCAATCTTCGCAATCCTCTTTTGACAGCCATTCCATCTCTGATTGGTGATACATACTATTTATATCTGTCAATATAAGTAGCATCCAACACATAATTATCACATATGCCAGATAATTTAATAATATTAATGTACATCATATAACACATTCATAATACATTCTCTAATCGGTAATTTTTGTATGTGTCAATATATACATAAATTTGATTGGACAGAACACATCATGATTTATTTATCCTACAGATACATCAGCAAAGGAAGTTAATTAACTTACCTTAAATTAGTACACTTCTCTACCGATTCTTGAACAAATCTCATATTTGGTTGACCTGTTGTATATGCATGAAATGTTCAAGAAAAAACACATGATAATGTTGAATCGATCAGAAAATCAAAAACATAAAGATAAAAACAATGAACCACTTCAACTATGTTCTTTACTTCAATATTCAAGAACATTTTATGTACATATGATCTTTAAAAAATCTGTTTTCTCATTAGAAAAAACAACAATGTCTTAATGCTGATAATATCAATATACCTTTAACAGTCTAAATACTCAAGTATCAACTCTTAGAAATTATTATATGTCAATTAAGAATCGTCTATTTGCAGAGAATGTTTTCAAATCATGTGAGAGCGTTTGCACACATAAAAATGACTAGATTTGTAACTAACATTGAGCTACAACAAATTATAATTGTATTTCTAATAAAAAATATACAAGCGCTCGCATGAAAGATTTTGTTTAAAAATGTGAAATTTGCATTGTACTTCGTTAAACCGCCTACGTGTATAATACAAGGTAAGATTCATTTATATTCAGGTTACACATTCTATAGATAAGTCATTATCAGTGTGAAGCAATGTCTGTCCATAGACAGTGCCTAGATATTTTACAATAGTAATAATAATTATTTATTATAAAGTAGAGGGAGAATTACCTTGTGGCAAATCCGGAGGCGAATGAGCAGTCAAATTACTGCATTTGAGTGAAATTTCAGAACTGGTTGAAATACAAGGTGATGATCCGACTGAAACAGGACGTTGTCGAGAGTCGGTCGTGTTAGAAATTGTCGAACAGTTTGTGTTGGTTGAATCTGATACTCCAGCACGACTTTGAACTCCAGGTAGTGGGGCTTCAAAAAGTGCCCGGGTAAAACTAGGAGTAGCTAAATGCTGCCAATGTTGAAGAACATTAGAACCATCTAATGGTTTAATCAGCTTCAAACGTTGAGGCAATCTAAATAATAATAATAATAATAATAATAATAATAATAATAATAATAATAATAATAATAATAATGATAATAATAATAATAACAATAACAATAACAATAATAATAATAACAATAATAATAATAACAACAATAATAATAACAATAATAATAATAATAATAACAACAACAATAATAATAATAATAATAATAATAATAATAATAATAATAATAAAGAATATACATTCCATACAATGGTAACCACTTTAACTATTGTTGTTATGAATGATAATTGAATGTAGATAAATATACATAACCTAACAAACAGATTTGTGTACCAAACTTCTAGTTGAACTTAAGATGTTGTGGCTACTTATATCAACCATCTGCCCGAACCGAGGTAAGCGCCGTGAGGATAGAACTTCAGGCTTATTATTTCAGTTGTAAGTCTTTAATAACAAACCAGTTTTCCATGGATGTAAAAGTAACCTAAAATTAGTGGGGAAACATTTTTGTAATTGAGGAATTTTTATTATTCTGTATTCTTTAGTGTTGTTAACAAAAATATGAATATAATCTAATGAATTACTATCATTATGACATCTATTAAGCTACCCCAAATAATGCATATGATAAGTACTGTGTTACTAAAAACTAATCTACATAATTTCCAAATGACAACTGATGAATATAAGAAGATGCTAGAAAATTACAAACAGTTCATAAACCGACAACAAATAACTTGAGAGTCCAGTTTCCTGTAATAGCAATCAATAATTATTTAATTTCAACTAACATGGAGAAAGATAATAATTAATCAGATTTCATTCAATAGAGTATAATGTTTAACACAATTGACTCTAGAAACTTACTTGCAATATGATTTACTAGTGCAGACCACATTTGGATCACATGAAAGTAGACTGTCATCAAAGCTGTTTTGAAAATTCAGTCCACTATCAGGAATTGAATAATATCCTTTGTCAGATAAATTAGAAGTTACGTCACAACCAAGCCAACTATGTCGTTTTTCAGACTCTAGCAAATAATTCGGATTTTTAGATTGATGAAGGCAATAATTTACCAAATTAGATTTACTAAAAGGTAGATAGAGAGAGAGAAAAGTATATGTATACTTAGCAAAGATACAAAGTAAATACATAAAGTGGCTGATAAATTGACATTTCATACGCAATACAACAAAATTGGTTGATATTCTTAGCAAGATGTTGTTGTAGGACAGGTGGATATGGTTTGGTTTTATTTTTATTGGTTTAGATATACAACCCTTACTATTAAGAAATCGTATTCAAAATTGTGCAATTCGGTACTAATCACGACTTAAAACATAACTCAGCAGAAATAATACTACCAAAAGCTACTATTGAGAACGTTAGAAAAATTGGGAACGAACTACACCGGTCAGAAATAATGAATTATCACTAATTAAAATGACAAACATAAATTTGGATGAGAATTTCTAAACAAAATAATTAGAAAAGAGAACGATGATCTCGATCACTTACAGTGACAAAGAGAATGTGAATTAAGATACTGAGATGATTGAGGTCGTCATATAATGACCAATGAGACTATACACCTATTTATCCATCTACACGATGTATCATACACCACGAAAACAAATATGACGACCAATAAAGTCAGTAAATATTTCTGCAATAGGCATCACTTATCGATTGATACGAGACAGAAATTCAAGAAATCTATACCAACAAATAAATATCTAGCTTTTTCAATAATAATTATTCACTGACGCAAACAGAAGGCAAAAGGCACTCCTCCGTTTGACCACTTTTAGCTTACTTAAAAAAAACAACGCCGAAAAATAATCACCATATAGAAAATAGCTAGTCGGATTTAGACGCCACATTACACTTAATCAAGCATATACTATTGTAACGAAAACAGAAAAACGGGGTTCAAAGAACAGTCAACAGCCTTATGATTAGGTTGACAGTCATAATAAAAATGAAGACAGTACTCAAATGAAGATGAAAATTTAGACACAACTATGATACAATTTTACCACGGTTGATTAATTTTAACATTACTACATTTATTAAATAGAAAACGCATTAGATGAAAGTATTGGTACAAGGGTCTTGTGGAGATTATTAAATCTTCAGACTAATCTTAGTAGACCATTATTAAAAACCAGAAAGCACTGGGAAGCTGTCCAGTCCATCGCGAATCGATTACAGTTAAATACAAGCACTATTGGATCCCGTCTGCGGTCTGGATGTTATACATTCCACTTACGAAACCGAAGGTTCTGAGTCCGATCTCTGATGGGGTCGTGTGTGAGTGGCGTTGGGGAGTCCCACACTAGGATGAAACAGTTATTCAGTGCTTCCTGGTTTTCAACAGTGTCCGAATATTGATGAATGATTTACACTATGAAGATGAAGCAACGTTTGATATATACATAAACAGAGTTGCTATATACCACACGAAGTAACATATATATATATATATATATATATATATATATATATATATATATATATATATATATATATATATATATATATATACCTTCTGTCAGCATCAGCCAAGTGAATAGGACTGATAAAATCTGGGATAAATGGTCTAGTTGAATACGGACTTCCAGAATTAGACGTTTGTTCACTTTTAACGAATTTTTGCTTGTGAGGATTATCTGACGGTTCTAAAAAAAAAGACAATTTAACACAAAAAGTACATGTACTAATGTACTAACTTCATTCACATATTTAAACAAATGCATTTTAGAAAATGATATAGTTATTTCTGATACAGTCAATAAAGAATCATTCACCTACACGTCTATCTAGTATTTTTAAAAATGAGTAATGAAGATTCGACATAAAAAGTGCAGCCATTATATTACGTAGGAGTATTACATGTAGATTAAATAGGATTTAGTGAGTTACATGATGTGTCAAGATTATATGAAAGATCAAATGAAAGCATGAACAATTGATTTGTCAGCTGATCAAAGTGTATCGTACATATGCACACTATGTTGATTATTTTCATATATATATATATATATATATATATATATATATATATATATATATATATATATATAAGCAAGAGCTGTAAGCATTGTTGTTTGGTAAATGAAGTTTATGTGACCTTGGTTTAGTTGGGTTGGTCAAATATTGCAAGAGTATAATATGTTAGTAGATAAGCTAGAGTGTATATCACATTATACATAATTTGCCCGAGTAAACAATACTTCAGCATTTTAGATCATGTATCTTGCTAAGTCAGTTTAATTCTCAAGATTCAAGTACATAGAAATTATAATCCCAAAGAAAATTACATAAAACAGAATTTCTTATAAGTATTATTCAGAATATAAATCATTAATTTTCTATTTTAAGAGAAAGTAAATGCAAACGTATTAACCATCATTTTTTCTACATTTTTCTAAAAATTTTAACCCTACAACTATAGAAGAGTATAATTCACTTGATATTGTTTTATTTGAATCTTCCCATTGATGTTTTAGGACTGAAGTTGATCAGTCTCTTATTGGCATATGTGCATACTGATCAACTTCAGTCCTAAAACATCAATGGGAAGATACAAATAAAACAATATCAAGTGAATTAAACTTCACCCCATTGCACAAGCAAGTGGCTATCAGGACTCAGTAGCTAAGTGGATAACGCGATGGCGTTTGAAGCGAACGTAACTGAGTTCGAGTCCCAGAGTGAACATCAACTCTGAGATGCAGGTACATCCAGCTGACGAGCCCCAAACAGGACGAAACGCGCGTCCTGGATTCCACTACTAGCCACTATCCATCTCTGCTTATGATATAGAAGAGTATATTTGAAACATCAATTACGCTCCAACTAATCAGTTCTTATGATAACTGTGAAAATTTATGAATCATACATACAAAATGGAACAAACAATGAAGTAATTGTAATTATCCATTAAGTTTACTGACCGATAGTTTATGTTGTTCTTCTTCACATATAAGTACATAGTAGCCTACATATTTTCAAATTTGATTATTTCCCAATTAAAAAGTATACTTATTTACAATCCATAATATAGTAATATTGTTAGATTACAAAAGAAAGTTCAGAAAAAACACGTAAATAAACGTAGACTAAAAGTACTAACAAGAACTGAACCTAAAGTACTGGAGACCTACCAACTGCTTGTATTGAAACAAAACCATGAACATCTTGGTAACATATGCCCATATCATATGTACTTATCATAAAAACAAAAACGAATATGGTGAGACTATAATTTATGGTCGAACCAATCAATTTTGAGATAATAGGTCTTGGATTTTAGCACGAAATTCATTCACTGATAAATACTATTTCGGTATTATAGTTGATGTCAGTTTGTTATGAAAACCCTAAATCTAATTCCTCACGCTGCTTTATAATCCTCATTTAGTTCTTGACGTTTTCAAGGTCGTCCATAAATTATAGTTTCACCACGAATACAAATATGAAGTGATTAGATAGTTTTTTTTTTAATTACCTGACCCACTAACAAAACCACTGCTAGAAACAGTATCTTCCAGACCTGATTCAATCAGTATGATATTATGGCTACCTTTATCATCATTATTAGAATTAATTGTGGTAGTAGCAATAGGAGTAGGAGTAGGACCATTACTGAGTGTACGCGTATGACGAACTTGATCCATCGCTCGAAATAAATGCTTTCTAAAGTGGAATGAGAAAACTGAATTTAACTACACATTAAACAGACAATGTAAACAGGAATGGAACAACTTCAAATAAAATGTAGTGTGGAAAAACATAAGCATGAAGTATTTGCAACCCGAACAGAACTGAATTACAGATTAATAACACAAAATTCAGGGCGGTAACTAGAAATGTTTGTGACTAATTGATTGAAGCAGATTTACTGCATGAAAAATCAAATGGTGAACACCAGCACTATAATAGATTTTGCAACAATTGGTGTTACAACTGACAGATCAGAGTAAATCATCGAGTTAAATAACCTGGCATTACTATTAACCTCTAAAGGTAAATGACAAGAATGTATAGGCTATCATTTCTATCAGTTATTCACGTAAAACACATAACAACGTACGTGGTATATCTCTCAACAATGGTTATATAGCGTTGCTGGGTCGAAAAACTTTGTGGAATACCGTGGTTAATTCAAACAACGGGTATTTTAGTTTTAAAATCACTACATAACTCATTAGTTCATCTGAACAATAGATCAAGAAAGACTGTTAAACTATATAATCGGATAACAGGTGAAAGCTACAATAATAGTTTGTTAGAGTTTGATAATGATCAAAAAACATACATATTATCTTTCGCATGTTCATTCATTCTTGCATGTACCAAATCTGCAGCTAATGAAGTTTCCACATGATCTGAACTTGAATTTTGTGTAGTCAACATATCCAGAGAAGATGTACTGCCATCACTGGCTAGCTGTTGGGCAGATAATGACGAATGATGACAGTAATGCATGGGATCCGGATCTGACTGTGGTGTTAAAGCGGCTCCACTTAAATAAGGTGGTAGTGAGGGTATTACTGTAGTGTTCACTACAGAACTACTGGATATAAGTGAATTAGGACGATAATAACCACGACGAGAACGTTTACGTAAGGCCCGAATTTCCGACTAAAACGAGAAAAGTAGACGTTCAATGCTAGATAGGATTGGAAGAAAATTGTATTGTAAAGATAAATATTTTGAATTTGCTGGCATGATTCACCCATAAGCAATTGAATTTAATTTTCTGTAATTATATTTGGATTGAACATTATCACTAGCTCCTATGTTCAAACTCGTTGGCATAAACATCTCATCTCTAGTCTAATCATTAAGGTTAATTTAATAGTCTAGTTCACAAGTTTGTAAGCAATAACACAAAGATTGAAATGATACACAAATGATCCAAAGAAGGGATCAATGAACTTTGTATGATGAAATACGCCAAAAAAATGTGAGTCCACGAAAGCTACACAGAAGTGTTTAGAATTTAAAAGTATATACGTTTGCATAATATCATTGAAGATCTTAAAATATTAATTCGTGTATCTTGACGAAAATATACAAAAGATCTATGTGTCAGTTGTCAAAAACAATTTATAACCAAGTTAGGGTAGGAAACATGATATAGATAAGTATACACATTTCATATAAGTTAATGCTTATCACTAGAAAAATTTGTTTGAAATTTTGAAAAAGCTTATGCTTATCAAAGAGTCTAAACAAAGTGACTCAACACCGAAATCGAAACTATTACTAGTTCTCTGATTTGCAGAATATAAAGGCAAAACCATAAGCAGAGACTACAGGCCGTTTTTCAGTTATGTTTTCGCCTACATAAGTAATAATAATCCTATAAATATCAATGTATTTGTAGCGTGATCGATAAACCATGTTTAAACACCTCCAATCGTGAGATCGGAAAGCCAGATGAGTGGTCATAAATACTTTCATTATTTAAACTCATGACTCACGTAATCATATGATTGAAATATACGATTACAACGCACCACATATAACAAATCTCAGGAAGCATGGAACTAGAATATTTTGACATGAAGATGAGTAACATACCTATAGTTCCATTAAACTATAGTTTATGAGCATTAAAAGATAATAAAACGACCAATGTGTCTGAGATGGTGACTTACAAACAAGATTTCCGACAAATAAACCAATGAACCAACTGTCTAGATACTAAAAATGGGAAAAACTCATTCACCAAGGAATAGCTTTTTGTAGCCCACTGATCTGACTCCGATTTGAATGGACGTATGAACATGGTATGAACAGAAATCGTTCATTTAGTTACGTACATTACTTGGACTAACCACGTTTGTGTGACGGTGGCATTAAGAAACCAAATAAAGGTTGAGTTAGAGGAATTTATTTCAATAATTCTTTTGTCTAGACATATATTGAGAATAGGAAACGGAAAAGTGAAGCGGATTGGAGGTGGCGAGTGAACCATCTCGTTTTGATCAAGAGTGGATTTATAGTCAGGATGAATAAGTTACAGACGTCTGATGAGTAGGCAAGCTATGCACATACATACGTTCATATGAAAAAAGTCAGGGTTAATTACTAAAATAAGGTCAAAATATCGCTTTTGTACAACAGCTAGAATAACCCAAGTGGACTTGACATAGTACAAGACACTGAAAGCTATCCTATTTTAATGGGTTTTCGTAACTTTCTCTTCTTTGCTAGCACTTATTTCTTCATCGATAATCTCACTTTATGTCAATGAATTTAGATTTCTTTTAACAATGGTAAACATATCAATATTACTATTGACAATTGAATAATGAACACGAGATTATCATTTTAAAAATAGTATTGTATGTAAAAATAAACAAAAACTCTCGAAAGAATGCGTTTGAAGTTTAAGCAATATTTCATATATGGAATACCAGTATCATGTATAAATTTTGGCATAATTTAAGCAGAACAAATATGATAAAACGAGATTTTTCTTTTAAAAAAGGTCCTCCTTGTTCTGTTAATTTGTATTTCTTTCACCAGTGTTTCATTGAAGTACACCTTCTTAAGTATCAAAATTCACTTACTTAAATAGATATACCATTAATAACTGTAAGGAAATTAGACAACTAACTGGGCAACAACAGTAGGTAACACTGATTTAAACTACGCGTCCTATTATCTAAACCAATCACATGTAAGAAAGGAAATAAATTCATTGGACAGAAAGTTCGGATCAATATTCAGTGATACAGTGAGCTTAATGAAAATCGAATTCTGATCTGTACAAGAATGAAAGGTAGTATAGGATCTTCAAAAATATACATGAATAAACAAGCCTCCCTGAACGAAATTACATCAGGTTAATACTTTTTAATGTATAAGAAAACTGAATATAAGATCGGAAAATCACAATACGGTTCCATGATGCCGAGAAAATTAAAATTAACTACTCGAACATTTCGAAACGTATTCATGGAAAAAATTCAACAAAATCCTACCATTTGTTCTTATAATAATATCGTTTTATGAAGAAACCGCTTACAACCGTATAACCAAATGTAAAAACCTTTTGTGTGAAACCTACGCCTAGACTTATTCGAAAATAATAACAATATTAAATAATTGAATGATTTGAGTTTTATTACACGGACCTAAGGGTTAACGGATCTTCGTAAAAGAAATTATGAAGGCTCAAGATGGAAGTCAAGGCTCGTTGAAAATCACGAGGTTGATGCCTCCTCTGACAAACAGAGTAAAATTAAATATAGATACGCAGATTGTCCAAACATTGTGAGGCTGGGAGGGTTATCTAAATAGCAGTGGAAATCAAAAGACAAAACCTGGCTATGCTTTCAAAGAGTGCAGACCATTGAACATAATCTGTACAGAAAAAAACTAACTTTAAGAGAAATGTTGCTGAATTTCTTCATGAAGCAAATGCCCCATATACACAAGGAGTGGAATTGATGCTCTCCAAGGAAGGCGGAAATGCCCCCAGAATAATCAAAATATCCTCCAAAACAAAGGAATGATTACAATGATTATCATCTAATGCTATGCACCCACCAACGAAAGCGGCGAAGATGACATCAGCTTTATGGGGGTCTACAGTACATCTTAGAAAAAAACCCAGGGTAAAAACCTGACCATCCTGATGAAGAACGAGAACACTACAGTTGAGGTTGACAACACCAGGTGTGAAGACATCATAGAACGACATGGACTGGAAGAAAGGAAGGAGAATGATGAGAGATTGACAGATCTATATGCTTTCAATAACATGGACATAGGTAGGAGAATTTTCCATCATACGTGCATACAAAAAGATAAATAAGTTTCACCGGTACACACTACGGGGAACCAGATCAACCACATAAGCATGAATGAAAAAAATTGATGTCACATTAAGACGTAAGAACAAAGAGTTGATATAACTTCGTGGTAGCAAAATCAAAACGGAGACTAAAATATTGAATAATTAGACAACCAAAGCTACGAAATTCTTTGAAAAGCCAACAAACTCAGTGGGTTCATGATAAATCTCAACGACAAGTTCCAAGTCTTAAAAGACCTACTAGAAGAAGAGGAAACGACTACATAGAACAAATAGAAAAGGAATAAATTCAAAGTGTCAAGAGATATTAGGCTCCAAAAGGCACCAACATAAAGAAGAGATCTCCATATATACCTTGACAAAGATTCAACAACAGTAAACAGGAAGACAGAAATGAAAAACAGCCAGGCAAAAGCCGAGGAATTAAAGGCATCCACAAAATATGCAGAAGCAAACAAAAGAATGAAGAGGAGCAGTAGAGCTGATAAGCAAGAATGTGTGGAACAACTTACAATGAAAGCAAGAAAAGCTGAAAGAGGAAGAAATGTGAGGAACTATATAGCTCAACTAAGAAACGAGCGGAGAAAAATAAGAAACCTGTCAAGAATAAATAAGAACCAATCACTGACAATAAAACACACACATAAACAGCAATAAATGCAAACGAAAGCAGTCAATGAAGCAACCGATTCCACAAAAATAGGGCTCAACACAAACAACGCAAAACACACAATCACAAATATCACAAAACCCAGTACCAATAAAGTCACACTCGCTACTGAAGCTCTCCTCTGCAATACATGCAAATATTCACGAACCTCAACACCATCATCCACAAACTAAGATACAGATGTGAAGGTACGCATTGACAGGACATCGGTATTCATTACTACATCTGATGAACATCACGGACTCAAAACAACTGTTACTCGACAAGAAAGTCTGAGTTTTCACTAATGTCAAAACAGTTCATTGTATGGAGCTTAAACCTCGAAAACCCTCCACTAACATCACCAAAACACTACAAGTATTCACAAATAGCTATTTAGAGACCTCTGATCGGCAATCTATGTTAACTGCTTACATTAAAAACCATCAACAATGATCCACTGTGGCACAGAACCAACCAGATGCCAACTTAGGAGGAAATTTGAGAAAGACTTTGGAGGTGGATCTGTCACGACTTACGGAGACCATCGAATCGTATCACAAAGCAGGTTACAACTTGAGGTTCTCAAGGTAAGACAAGATAGACCAAATAACAAATGGCGCCGGTAGTTGAAAACATACAGCATGAGTATGAATACTAGGTGGTGATATCTGGAAAGAAGAGACGAGGATAAAGTTGATTGATGATCTTTAATCAGCGGTCTATGTACCATGAGAGGTAACAGGGTCAAATAATCAGTAGTCGTATAACATTACTACATTGAAGCAATCAAAGATATTTCCCCAAAGATGTCTGTTACAAGAGCTATATAAACCAAAAAAATGGGAATAAGCAATAAGGGGATACTACTAACATTTTCTTATAAATATAAACAAAGCAGTTGTACAGTACTCCTTCGACCCAACTGTCAGTGTTTAATATCAATAAAAATAAATAAATAACACCAACAGTTTTAAAATGGTTAGAATTATTATTATAAATAACAGTGATTACCCTGGCTTCATTATAAAGTGTTAGGCACTCATCATATTTATCACGTGAATTTTTTAATTCACTTGTCAGTAATGATTGCGATATTTGTGTTTCCTTCAGCCGACCAATCAACATTTCATTTTCTGCTGTCAACTAAATTAGATAGTGAAACAGAAAAACGGAGAGATGTAATTCTAAACAATTAGAATACGAATTAAACGAGCATAAGGAATACAATTAAATCAATAATAATAATAATAATAATAATAATAATAATAATAATAATAATAATAATAATAATAATAATAATAATATAGTTTACCTGTTTAACACGATTTTCTAAATCTAAACCTCTTGTAAGTAAGCGAGTAATTTCAGATTGTTGATTCATGAAAGCATCAGACTTCTTAGCCAACTCATCGGATAAATTACGTATATGTATATTAGCAGTAATTAATTGACGTGCACAATCTCGAACTAATGCAGTTTCATGTTCATCTAATTGGTCCGCCGTAGTAGACAATCGATTATGCTACAAATAAAAATACAGGTTTTATTAGAACTCATATTACTCAATAATAGTATTGATAATCATGCTAAATAACAATAGAATGAATCGATGAATTGAATTAATCTTGTTGGAAAAAACAAAACTTAAATATTAAGGTCAAATAAACAGATATAAACATAGATCCGGAGATTTGAAAAAAGCGCAGTCGATGTATGAACATAATTAACGTGGCAAATCAATGTAACTTATTTATTCCCTCAAGTACGAGTTCGTGTAAAACTGTGAATATGGGAATTAATGATACAACTCGGCTGGTCAAATCGAAGTGGAAATGCGATCGAACGTGTAACTTACCGGTTAAAAAATAGGTGATTCAAACACTTAAAGCCAATTCCCTGTGAAAAATAAATACATGTGTTTACCGTCTTTTGATGATATCATCACTAGGAATGAAACGGATAAATAAGTTACATCAGAACCTTTCCTTATCTAGTATATGTATGATTACTCTATTCACTCTGATAAATTTTGATGACCTTAAACTATTATTAATATTTGGTTACTTATTCTCTGAAGAAGTAACTTACACTGAGTCACGAAACGTCAGAAAATCTAATTCTTCTACTCATTGGGATATTACAAATATACTAAGTGACATTATTATTATTAATATTTCACAATTGAAAATATCCCCCTCACTGTCAAATTATCTCTCATATCCCCATGATTTCTTTCATAATTGTTTCTGATATCACTACATTTAATCTAACCCCTTCATTACCTTAAATTACCGTAACAAAATGTTCTAATTACCTTACTTCATTCATATTAAAATTCATTGCTAACTTAGTTTTAAAAGGCTTAGCATTTGTAAACATCTATTATTGTTATTATCTATATTGCATAATTTAGTATTATAACCTTTCTATTACATCGTCATCTTTAGTCTTTGTTCATTTGTCCTCACGGAACTAATACTTAAAATAATTTTCTATACGATTGTACAGTTTGACAAATAAAGATTACGTTTGTTGATGTGTATTCTTATAGATTATACCGTATGTAATACACGAATTAGGGAAGCATGGAGAAAGCTCAACTAAATGAATCAAAATGAAGATTTTTATTTTTTTTCTACCGTCCTATAATCAACCGCCAGGAGTGAAACTGAAAAATGTAAGACAAATAAATCAACATATTTAATAACAAAACAGTTTTCATGTTTTAAGTACTGTGAGCTGATTCCGGTGCTTTCAGTCGAGCCTATTTTCATGAGAAGAAAGTGATTTAACATGATCTAAAGAGCAAAATCAAGTCAGTATGAAAATCGATCAGTCTGTGTGAGGACAGTCCCCGGATGAACTCTAAGAAGCTCAGAAAAAGTCGGGGATATTCCATCCAATCATCTTTGGGAAGAACATTCCAGGATTTCGACATGCAGCTTCCTCACTTGACAAAAGCTAAAAACCAGTGAACGCAGATTGGATGACTGTAATGATAGTCTATAAATACCTGAGAGTTTTGTACCGTATTTTACACTGTTTGGAATAACATTCCTTCTCAATGGTCTTCTGTATCCTCACTTACCTTTCAGTGTTCAAGTAGTACGCGGTATAGAACGAAAATCTAAGCTCTAGATATAACAGTCTGGTACCGAAAATGTGTCCACCTAGAAAATTATTGATTAATTGATAGTAAATATTTGCTTCCTTACGCCTGTTACTCCTCCTGAAGGAGCAGTAGCCGCTCACCAGCATTCTCCATCCAACCCTGTCCCAAACAATCCTTTCCAGCTCCTTCCAGTTGTTATTCATCCTTTTCATATCTGCTTCTATTTCCCGACGTAATATGTTCTTTGGCATTCCTCTTTTCCGCTTCCCTTTAGCGCTTGCCTCGTGATGCAGTTTGATGATTTGCGTAATGTATGTCCTATCCATTTCCATCGTCTTTTCTTAATTTCCTCTTCAGCTGGAAGCTGGTTTGTTCTCTCCCACAGTACAGTGTTACTGATGGTATCCGGCCAATGGATGTTGAGTATCTTGCGTAGACAACCATTTACAAATACTTGTACCTTCTTGATGGTGGTTGTTATAGTTCTCCAAGTTTCAGCTCCATACAGTAGAACTGCCTGCCTTGACGTTGGTATTGAAGATTCTCACTTTGATATTGGTTGACGGTTGTTTTGAGTTCCATATGTTCTTCAATTGAAGGAATGCGGCCCTTGCTTTGCTAGTACTCGCCTTTACGTCTGCATCTGCGAGGAAGAGATCAACCACCCGCAATTGAACGGCCAGGTTGAGTTTTGTTGATAAATCCAAGCGAGTCCTTCTCACTTCACAAGGGGAAAGAACGACAGAGGAAACGATCGAGAATCTTCTGAAGGCACACAGAATAATCTCAAACCCAGCCTATAGTATCTATTAAGATGAAGCAATGTTCAAGGGGAAACCGCATTTTATTTAATTCCACGAATACACATAGGAAGCACAGCGGGACGATAAAATCGAGGTCAGGGTTATTGAATGTTAATTACCGAATAATCTAACTGTATATATAAAAGGATTTCGATAGTTGGAGCTGTCTCGATAGTTAATAACGCCATAAGAGGAGTTATACATAAGTGCTCTACAAAAGAGAGCAACCCGTTAGAAATAGATGTCAACCACGTAGGCATTATCTAGTCACAGTATTAGGATGGAAAACATAATAATAGCAATATTTCTTGGGGCAACCTAAATACACCATGAAATAAATGTTAACATTTAGTCACAACATTGATACATACATAGATACATACCTCTTGACGTAGTAGATTATTTTCCTCTTCTAGGTCTTCAAGTTTTTTATGCAACTGTGCGAAGTTGACTGAAGATAAGGAAAATCCATCACCTCCTCCGGTACTAGATCTGTCATAATTATAATATAATGATAATATCAATGAGCAAACAGTTATTCCACAATCATCGCTTTGCTAAAGATTATTTATGAATGACTAAACAACAACAGCTCGTTTCCCTTTAACATACCTAGGAAACTGATGCAATATATACAGAGAACTGAATTTATCCTGTCGGACAACCAAATATTCAAGTTTATTTATAATCATTATTGATATTCAGCAGAAAAGAGTTTGCAATAATATCAATAGCTGTTACTACAGTAACCTCAATTGAAAAGGGCATGACAATACAATATGAAGAAGTAGAATCCCTAGGGAGGAAGTCAATTAAACATGAACACAGCAGAATATCACACAATATAAAAAAATGAAGACGTCCTGAAGAAAAAAAACTTTTCAAGGACTAACGTTACCGAAATAAAAAATCTTGTCGATGATAGAACATCTTTTAGACATGCACACACACTCAATGCAAAAAATAACCAGTGAAACATTATTATGCCAGCGACTATGCAGTTATTTATACAGTGTCTTTTGTGCCAATCATCAATTTAATTTTCTAAAGAAAGCAGTTAGAAACACAGAGTATAAACAAACACACAAATCCCTAAATATTGAACACAATAATGAAATACAAAAAAAATAAGATGAGACTTTCGTGCATAAAACAAATAGGGAACTACAACTTGCACGGTCTTCATACCTAACTCCAAAAATTTATAGATATGTATTGAATAATTTATAAAATGTAACAGATCAACAAGTCATTAAAAGTAAATATGCATTGACTGCTAAAATCTTAATCAATACTACTTCGTACGATTCTAATCTCACGAAATATTAAATATTACGGAAGTACATCAATGGCATGATATTACAGTTTGAAAAAAGATTAATATAAGTCTCTGAATCATTTTGTATGAAAATATTCTGCTAGTTAAAGGTCTCATATCATAATCTGCTTTCGTTAAATAATCATCGAAGATGGAGAAGCACCGAGAAGCCATTTCACCTTAATAAGGGATCTCTCAGAAGTGTAAATCAACGACCTCACCTGGGACTAAATACAGGATATTAAAGACTTATGACGAACAATTAACTTATGGATAACTGAACTGGCATCCCATTTTAATCCATTCGTGCACAGGTGTCCAGTACTTTGTGATGTGAAGCTGTAAATCCAACAGTCTTTACAACAAGCCATAATAGCAATCCAACAACTGTTATACCCAAAGTAAGTGGATAATAATACAATTATCCTACTCCAAGGTTTTATTTGGCTAAAAAATCAAACAATCTTGTGAGATGAAAAAAACTGACGACAATCTATCACAATGACTGACAAAGCAATCAATTTCTCCAACACTAAACGTACAATCCGTTATTTATAACACTTCTGTTATACAAATAATTAACAGGGAAATATCTCGAACTACATTATTTTAGAATAAATTTAATAGGAAACGTATGATCAGATTGCTTCAATTCCTTGAACAATTATTCTGAACATAAATCTTCACATACAGATAAACTGTTTTAAAAAAAACGATTCGTACACATGTACTAGATAAAACCAATACGGAAAGCTAGCAAGTTGGTCTACTGTATTAGTCAAACCGCTTTATACAATTGAGCAAATCATAAAAGTTAACTGAACATCATTACTATCATTATTATTATACAGTTTCATAACAACCCAATAAACATCACACCATGAGCTACTATTTATACTTTGCAGAAAAGACAATGTGAATACAAAATGTTACACAATAAAACGAGAAGAACTTAACAATCTCATATTTACCTATTTTTAATTAGTAATTCCGTTTATAAGCTAGTCAACAATTAAATTAAAGTACATTTATACATTTACAATATAATTTTACATCAATCATAGCTAAAAAAAATATCGTTAAATTATCAATTAGATAAGAAAAATGATCGTATTGACAAAATTATTATTTCCATGACAAAAGAAAAAAAAACCCTAAACACCAAAGATCATGTGACTTGAAGAGAATCCACACATATATGCAGGAAAATATATTGAGATAAAATGTTAGAAAGGTGAAGAAACAATGTATTTGAGAAAACTAATGCATTACAAAATGGAATTCTTGGGTGAAAAAATTGCATAATATAATGTATTCATTATATAACCACGAGAAATCTTGAAATATAACAATATTACCTAAAAGGATAAAATATTCAAACATCATGATCATTTTCTACCAATATACCGATGTAACATACAGGATATAAAGTTTCATTTTTATGCTTTTAGCTAAATGAAAATCAATTATCAGTCCAACGCTATGATCACAATATACTTCATTTATTCAACGTTTAAATTTCTATTTGGATTACATTTGGATCGAAAAGTATACCTAGTTGGTAGCTTAAAAAAATCAACATACTGGATATCCGAATCCACAAGAATAGATTAATTGAAAAATCAAATACATAATTCAACTAATTTATTGGTACGGAAAATGAGTGACATAAACTAGTGGCGTTTTTTTACTCTACTGTATAGTCCAGATTGGTTTTGAAATTATCTCATACTAGTCTATGTATTAGCATACTATTCAGGTGTTATGCATCGCGTCATGTTTAATGGGATCGGTGATACAAGAAGAAACGAAGAAAATGAGCCGAAATTACCATACGAAAGAGATGAATGTAATAACTACTTTGATTGTGAAGTGATGAATTAAAAACTCATTCAGGCATAAATAAATTGTTGTTAGCCGATCAAAAGTTGGACATGTAAATAAGTCTTAAGGATGGATTTTCTCGGACTAGTGATGAAGTGAAACCAGATACAGTTTGAATACATATGAACATCATCTGATGACGCAAAAAATCAGACTGGACATCCAAGTAGTTTTTCAGTAGATTATTTTCTTTATTATCCTAAACATTAATGATCCTATTTGTAATTACTTAGCTGTGTGTGAAGCAATAATCATAGTGGTGTACTTAACTTTTTTAAAACATACTAAACAATGAGGATAAAAATGAGTAGAGAAAAAACACCCATACAAATTTGGCAGAAAGAGCAGAAACTACGAGAACAAAGACTAAATTCTCTAGGGCTAAAGAAACAAATGTTTATAAATCCATAATGTGGAGGAAAAGCTGTCTTAGAAACACTAACTAACTGTCTACGACGACAACTGAAAAAAAAACACTATGCCACCATGTTACAGATAAACAATAACGGTCAAATACATTCTGTCTACCGAGAAAAAAACGCGATTTAGCAAGATAAGTAGGAACAAATACTAGTTTGATTACAGACATATTAGGATAAGACAGACCACATAATATTGACATAAATTTATAACTCAGAAAGATATTGCATTTAAAACAGGTAACTAACTTAACATGGTATATACCATCAAGAATTTTGTAGATAACGAGAAAATTCTACCAAAACAGTAAACGAGGATTAACATTAAGAAGTAGATATGAATAATAGCAATCACATAAATGTTGGAGTGGTGGCTTAGTAGTTAAGGTGTTCATCCTTCAGGCACTAAGTTGCAGGTTCCAACCCCTCTACATATGATTCAGTTTGGGGAACCAAATAATATCACTAGCTCTTATACTCAAAGTATGGTTCGAAACTAAATGCACAAATATTTACCTGGTAAGTAGAGTTAAGTGTAATAAATATCACCACTCGTAGACATAAGTAGATGAACGACATCAACACAAATTATCTTCTCAGATTGTATTAATGAGTTTCACTGGCTAAGGATCGACTGTATGAACAATCAAATCTCCAGCATTCAGTATACATATAGCTAAGTTAATGCTAAAAAATGTCCTTTAGTTGATTGAAAAAAACAATATCTTTAAATTTCATCACACATACTTGTCAGTAAGCAACTACCATTGACTGAAAAATAAGAATGTTTACAATTAACTAAATGACGCAATTGGAAATACATAATTGATAACTGACTAAACTTTTTCAATCCAAAACAACATATACTAAGTGAAGGATGAAGAGTAAAAACATTTTCATCTACAAAATAAAACGCAACGAGACAAATGGGGAATACTGTAAATGAGAGAAAAGTTGGATTATATAGAAACACAAACAGTTTAATAGGTATTCTACCCAGACAGCTTTTAAAGTGGTCTTAAGTTTTAAAATCAGTTACTGTCAGTTCTTATTGACAATTAAAACTGAACTCCAATGTTTAGTTCAATTTCACTCGAAATGAAACAAGAAAACTAAGCTGAATAAACACTATTGTGGAGAGAGAACAGTAATAATGGGTGGGTGAAATAATTGGTACCTAGAGTTTTATTTATTTTATTATTTATTTAAACACATAAACATTGGTACAAAAGGGGTACCGAATACATATACACCACATAAATCATTCGATTTGTGTGAGGGCCGGGATACTACTCGGGTGCCCAAACCGAAACAGGTAGTTTTCTTAGGGTGCCACACCCAGAGCCTTCGACCTGAAGGTTTGATCCACGATGCAGATGAGCATCGTAAGGAAATGCAGTCCCATGGTAGCTGGTGACCAACGATCGGTTCATACGCCATTTGTTCCCTCAGGATCCTCGAGCTCATGTGCGCCGTCGGTTTGAAATCAGGGTTTTCAGACTCCCTTAGGTGGACCCTTCGTGTCCACCAACCCGGTTAAAGCGACGGACATTGGCTTTTCGTCTTCTCAATTTCGTAAACAACACCCCGCCGCGAGAAGGCAATGAGTAGGACTTCCCTGGCAGTGGTTGTATGCACGTGGCCATGTGAGAGCATTTCGAGAAGGAGAGGTGACTCTCTACACTCTCGGCCATACCAGGGCATTTGGGGGCTAAAATGACGGGATGGAGGAGGTCCTTCCAACCCACTGGTTAGGCAGGTCACCTACCGAAACAGGCGTAATTTACCGTAATTTGCCTACAGTTACGAGTTAGCATCAGTAAGTAACTGAGTTCTGTACACCTCAATTTATCGAGTAAAGGAACAATAAATTCGACAACAATTAGCTTTCAATCCCAATGGTTTTCCTTTATATCATCGAAAATAAAAATAAAAACGTATTATGCAGAAAGAAATAACTAACTGTATGAAGGTGAGATTACATTATTTAGTAAAATGTAATAGAACAATTGAATAAACTAACGATCACATGAGTTCTATTTACACCTTAACTTATATATGCATACACATGTTTATTAAAAAAACAATACTGAAATAGTGTAAATAATACGTAGCATTTACAAAGGAGACCATTAAACAAGGGCTGAGAATATGCAAAAGTACAAAATAACAGCCTTTACACTACTAAAAAAGTATCAATAGGAGAAAAATAGATAAAATATATTAACTAATTTATATACTGCTAAATGAAGACAGCTATCAAACACATAATACGACTCTAATGCGTGTTTTTCCCAAACCGTCTTATTATCATTCAAAATAAAACTTTCGCCAAGCACTCACTGTCCATTATTTGGAATAACAGTTCTGTGGCCGGGACATAATGAAAACAAAAAGACTAAGTTTAGCCCCAGGGTAATTACAAAAGGGAAATGTTAAAGCACAGTTATAAATGGTTGGGAATGAGTCAACAGGGACAGAAACACTTAAAATAATTAGACAATCAATAGTTAGTTGGTCTGCCTCGAAATCATTATTAATCAACCTTAAGGTCAAGCAATCAGTTAAGTGACTCATTAATGGATGTGAACCACAGGATTGAATGCATTTATATTCTAAAAAAAGGTGGGCAATGTATAGATTATTTTTTATGTTGAAATGTTAAATGCCAGTAGTAAAACAATTTTGAAAAATCAATTGATCTTTTTCTCTTCAAGTGCTTTCTTTAAGAAAATCAAATAGAGTAGAAAACAAATTGTCTATGAATAGGGTTGGCAGTGTTAGAAAATAAGTGTATAACAACTGGGAATTAAGTTTATTATATTTGCTCTAATAGGTTTTAAGTAATGAAAACATGAAAAATTAGACATTCAGACAGACAGATGATAGGCGTAAACTGTTATCATTTGATTACAGGTGGCTTTGTGCATATAAATGAATGACCAAATGTGTAATACTGAATAAGTTAAAATGAGGCATTGGATTTCATCGACTGGATTACTTGAATTATATATGACGTAAACACCATGACCAAATCAATGTGAAATACAATCGAAACTAGCATGAAGAGTAGGTTGAAGAAAGTCTAATGGTAAACAGGTCATTAACCGTTGGCTTTAGTAGTTACATTGTAAGACGTAAAAATCTTGGTTAGAGAAAGTGCAATAATCGCGACCTATGATTGAAAACGTTGGATGATGTGAATCAGATTTTGTTTACCCCTAAATAAATCTTCCATTTTAATACCTATATATGACGCGCAGTGTCCGAGTCTGATACTAATGCACAAACTTTTGATATACAAGCGCCAAACCGGCTACTGAATGAGAAGACTAAGTGAAGGAAGCACTCATTTATACAAATATGCGTGTCTGCATAGAAAATGAAACCATCTCACGGCCAATAACATGAATCTGTCGATTACACTTTCGATTAACGCAACGCAGTCTTTCTACTTGGCAAATTTGGTTGGTACACCATATTCAATATCCTACCTTGTATCTTGCTTATTTCCTCTCAGTGTACTGATGCGGAACGTATAGACTTGGTGCGTACTTTGTGTGATGCATTGTGCAGAATATCGGTAGGGTGCACGGCTGTATAAAACTGAGCATTGACATCTGCCTTTGTCTAACTATGTCACGAACAGACAGAGGTAATTTAATTTGGACTATGAATGTGTTTACATGAAACAATATATATTTGTGACATCGTCTGTGTCTATGAGAAACCAAATGAATGAAAATAAGTCGCACATAGCTGTAGCACTGAAGCGAAATTTACACATGCGAAAGTTTGATGGATTCTTAATAAGCAATAGCTAATTCATTATCAATAGCTCATACCACCATAAATATAGTAAACATATTTCATTCTAATTAGGACTTCGCATCTAGATCCAAATGGATCCCAGTACTGGCATTCACGGAAGAAACCAAATCCAGTGCTTATCAACATGCACAAAAAGTTGTTACTTAAGTAAGCTTTAAGCCAATAATGAGTAGTCAGTTTAATTCAGTAAGTAAGCAATAGAGGATGAGATACTTCGAAAACACGTCATTATCTCAGTCATATATTTACAATGTAGAAGACAATTAATAAATAGTAGTCGTATCATTTTTACCAACTGACGTAACTCGGTAACTCTATGTACTGAAATTGAAGTTATTATATAGTGAGTATAAGAAATTCTGTTGACAGATGATCAAACTACTGAGTAGTAATTCTTACAAAGTAAGTAACTGAGCCATATAACAATAAAGTAAAGAAAAAACTATTCACGAGTACAAACTTACGATAATCCCTGCTGACTGCGAACAGGTGATGCACGTCCACTGGATAATACACTAACTTCATCATCATTAATATCAGTAATTTGATCGGAATCTCTTAGGAATATACGTAGTAAATTATCTTTCACAGAGAGATTATGGTTTAGCTGACTAATCTGAAAAAATATACAAGGAATAAAGTTCATCAAAATCGATAAGCCGTATACACATAGCACAGTTTATACACTTTACATTGTTAGTATGTTAATAATAGAAGGAAATGGAAATTTACTGAATTACCGACTTGGTGCTCTCTTACAATGAACTATCAAAAACTGAACTTGTGCAGCTAGATCGTTCGAAATTAAGTCATAGTAACGTTCTCCTTAAAAGCTCAGTCACATTTTAACTGTATGACACTGAAGTCTTATAACCAAGACCGGTGAATTTCAGACTGCACAACTTTTACTTATATATCAAAAGATTTGCTATCTTGTAACTTAAATCAGTATAGAAAAAAAATATGATAACCAGAACATCTTTAATTACAAAAGTTTATATATATATTATATATATATATATATATATATATATATATATATATATATATATATATATATCAGAAGGGGTTTTGTGGAGATTTTAGTAATTTTAATAGATGAAATCATGAGTCAATTGAAGCTACACCACCATGGAAAATCTGGAAGCACTGGACGGCCGTTTTGTCCTAGTATGGGACTCCTCGAGTTTACCATGATGGTCTAGCTTCAACCGACTCATGATTTCAATTGTTGAACTTGCTAAGATCTCCACAAAACCCCTTCTGACAATAATCATCTGCTCACTAGTGACTGACTTCAAGAGGCATTTCCTTGAGTTCCAGTGAGAAGCCGTGATCAGTGAAGTTCAACCAAGTCTGTTGTGAGATATCAGCTCACTGAAGACAATGATGTACGGTGGTGCGATTTCGTGGATTGGTTGAAGTTAGACATTGACATCGTTAGATGCTGTCTCAGTGATCTAGAGGTTAAGCGCTCGTGCGCGAGACTGATAGGTCCTGGGGTTCGAATCTCACGAGGGGCGGTATCATGGATGCGTGCTGCTGAGGAGTACCATACTGGGACGAAACGGCCGTTCAGTGTTTCCAGGTTTTCCATGGTGGTCTAGCTTCAATTGACTCGTGATTTCAACTACTGAAAGCACCAAATAACTCATTTTTGACTTAATTCATTTTCGATAATGTAATAAGAAGACGAAGATTATCAGAACTATGTGATATATTAGCGCAATACATTTCGAACAATCTGATCCTCTTACCCCATTTCCAATCTAGTTGACCTTTTATTTTTATATCTAAATGTTATTAACAAGTATATGTGTGATCAGATTGTTCGAAATGTATTGCGCTAATATATCACGTAGTTCTGATAATCTTCGTCTTCTTATTACATTCTAGAAATTTATCAAAGGGATTAATTCATTTTACTAGTTCTAGTTGACATGAGAAGAAAAACTGCATATGCTAATATTACTGTTCTGATGTGATCCCATCACTTTTGTTTCCACTTTAGGTTACTTAATGTAGCAGAAAAAAACCCAGCGATCGTGACAATAATTTATTATTCTATTCTACTTACAACAACAAAAGAACGTGGTCTAGATTAAGGACAATCATCACCACACAAAGTATATTATTAATTCAAGCAAACAAATAGGCATGTATCCATGATACATTGTTTTGATATCACTTAAATTTCATTATTACACTATAAATAAATTATTAACTTTACTACACAAAGAATCAAGATCAGATTGAAATCCAGCAGTAGTACTGGTAACTGATTCTAGACGATACTAGATCTATGGTAAAAAATCTCCTGGTAACAGGGTAAACGGTATAAATGAAGAAAAACAACATCAATACTGGAAAAATATAACCGTAAAAAACAATGAAATCATTTTCTAAATCACTAAAAATGGTTTGAAGAAAGCTAAAAAAATATATAACTCATTGAAAACAAAAGGTATGAGTTGCTTTTTCCTAACTTGTCCTGACTACATAATACGTAAAATAAAATTTCACAAATAAAACAAATAAATACGACTTACAACTTCATCACGTGCATTAAGATTCTTTTCAGTCTCTAATAGTTTCGACTGAAGGTCATGATTTTTTGCCAACAGATTTTTACCGATTTTCGCTGCTAATTCAAGATCTGTTTGTTTCTAGATTAGTGTAGAATAACAAATATTTTGAAACTGTATTAGGAGAATAAATGATTCTAAAAAAACAAGAATCATTGATTGATACTAGGTTTGTTGAAATTATTAGAATAATGACGAATGTCAGAACATATTTTCCATCGATATTTGAAGATGTTCGTTAAAATTCCATTATTAGCATTATATATATATATATATATATATATATATATATATATATATATATATATATATATTCATTGATAGGAATTTTTGTATACTATCAAAGTAATTTTGTTATACTAGATACATGTACAGAGTAAGAAATAAATTAAGAAAGATTTTATTGATAATTAGTGAAGCTTCCCAATTAACTATGAAACAGTTTAGCCATACACCTATAGGAAATAAACTGGGAGTTATTAAAAACAGTCTGAATATTTACACCGCGTCTAAAACCTGATTAAATTTTACACTTATTTGTAATGTAATAAATGAAAAAAATCTACTGGGAATTCACATCTTCAGTTTTAAAAGGTATGCACATATTAAAACTTTTTAAACTGTTTATAGCCGAGATGGAAGTTTAACGTCAATACAGACCATATAAATTATTCGACATCATAAATTTTTACTTCAAGTTTGGTTTCCCATTACTGCTAATAAAAAGAAATACTTACTTCTTCTAAGAGTTGGGTAATAGCATCCAAATCTTCATAAGTTTGAGCCATCTGACTAACTCTTAGACCACAAAGAACTGAAAGAAAAATGCAGAGATTAACATTTTATACAGAAACATTTACGCGGAAACCTAAACGGTTAGATATAGAGCAGTAAAACGAAAGTATAGAAAAGAATCATCTGAATAGGTGCACGATTTGTAATTGCACTATTATTTCTCTCACCCTGCTAGCTGACTCAAGTTGACACTACATATGAGTCATCTCAACATGAACAAATTTATTTTGTTCAACAATCCTAAATTCATATACCTCAACTAAACAATACATTGTACTCTAAACCTGGCCACTTTTCGGATTATTGATTTGGATATATGATTGTAGAACCTGAAGAGAACTTATTTAAAAGAATATTCTTCGTTTATATATTAGTCCTTTACACATAAATTTATGTGATAATAATAAATGACCATTGTACAGTTAAAAAGATGATAGTGTATCATAGTGATTAGGACGAATATTATGGCAAATAGATTGGTTACTCTCCAAACAAAACGTTTATGGATAAAAATCAATAGTTTAGTAAGTAGACCATCCGTATTAAATGATTAGACGTTATAAAACACCAGTAAAATCATGAGTGAGTAGTAGTAGCGTAATCACGTTTGAGTTTTAGCTTATCCGATTCAATTTAGTGAACTCTTGTTAGTACAATGAATCTGGCATAAAAGTTTCTTTTAAATATAACCAAATAGAGAAAATAACGTTAAGAAATTTCTTATCTTAAGAATTAGATACACGCTTAGCTACATTTGATACACAAACAAAAGTGTACGCTATGAAAAAGTTGCGATAAACACCATTTACTATTGAACAATCGAATTAATTTAGGATTTATTAAAGGTAGTATACTTATTACCGAACAAGTTAAATTGATGCAATAAATCTATCTTACTACTCTACAGGGTACCCTTTACAAGATAAAACTAAGTATAATCAAAAAATTATATTAGATGACAAATCATTACTACATAATTATTGAAACTCAGAATAACTAAGGTCATATATACATTTACATTCCAAAATGTATTAAACATTGCCAAACCACGAAAAAAACAACAACAAGAAAACATTCTAATTATTGGAATTGAAGTCGATCAATCAATTTACAAAATAATCTATATTATCTTTTTTTTTGATGAAAAAATGTATCTTTACTACCTCGAGCAAACAGGATAGAAAATCATGTGAAAGATAATTTATCGACGCCTCTTATAGATGGATTAATGTGTTCAAAGGATTTATATATTTATTTAAAAATAAACCTGATTCTATCGGCATATGAGTTTTCTTTCTTAAGAAATCACATTTTAATTAAGGCCAATCACAATTCATCCCATTCACTAATGAACCAATGTAGAGTTTTAAAGAAAGACAAGATGAGCAAGAATTGGCTTGTAGTCATGATTTACTTGAGGAAAAGACGGTAGCGAGAACGCTTGCATATATTACTATGGTTGGCAATCCTCTGCCATTGTTTAAATTAAAATCCTGAAGTTCCTTTGTTGAAAAGAAACTAGATAGGCACGAACTGACTGTTTAGCTTGGAAAGGTAGATATGAATGAGTACATAAACGGGATAAGTGCAAAAAACAATGTTCATACAGGATTAAGGACTTTCTGAACTAAACCTAAAAGATAGATCAAAATAGCTCTACAAAAATTGACATAGTAATACGTGATGTGGTGGCATATACCCTTGATCGTATAACATGTTGACAGTAAACTAAGAGCGCAATCACCGTATTTGGTTGATTGAAATAACTGATGGATTGGTTCACACTGTTCCACAAAAAAGACATTACCAATGTACACTGAGAAGGTGGGGTATTTCATACATTTAAAAAATTGTTCCCGTTCTAAAAACATGTTACTCGTACACGTCAATGTGAAATGGGAACCGTGACAAAAAATTGAAGGAAATGGAGAGCAAGTGATGATAAATCGTTGAAGCCCAAGTAAGAATACATCACTGTTTGTATAAAATGTAGAGACTTCAGATATCTACACTTGCTGATTCTCATTAATAAGACAATAAACAGGCAACCCAACCAACTAATTCATCATCAAATGACGATTAGTTCCCATCCCAATCTATCTCAATACAACGTCTTAGAACAGAAGCTGATAAATAACCATTCTTGTAGTGGAAACATGTTGGTAATTCTATCAAAAAAATCCATTTTCTTAAATTGAAAAAGCCTTCATTCCTGCAATAAGCAATCAATATTTATTACGTCATTTACAAATAATACCAGAGAAAAACTCCGGGTGAAAAGAGTAAACAATTGTAGTGTTATGTGTATTTAGCAATTGATAATTCTGTCAAATAACCGAAGTAGTTGGAATATGGTATAAACACTAAAAGGTATGATGCTGTCTTTGGGTGATAATGATCAGTCGATTTACTCACAATCAGAAATACTGAAGACAAAATCGTCTCCAAATTATTTCAAAATAAATTATATCATACATTAGGAGTATTATCTAATGTAATCACTTACAATTGATGGAGAAATCTATGTTGTTGGTGCCAAAAGAGACAAGTGCCAATTGAGACTTACAATAATAACAACAATAATATGTAAAGCATTAAAACAAACCAACGCCTAATTAATAGACATTTTTTACAATAAGAATCGATGCTTATAACAACATTTGTTATCAGTGACAAGTCATCAACAAGTATGCATACATGGATAATGAAAAGTTGTAGTATTACTTAAATAACAATAATGACATTTTATGTTATTATCTAAGATGAAATGAAGAAAAACAATAATATGCCTTATTAAAAGAAACTAATACGATAATAAGTGCATAATTATGAAATTTCTCAACCAAGAGGTACAATCAGAAAATAAATCTCTGTAGAACAAAGAAGAAGTATCAATAATTATACATTGTTAATTAGATACACAAGCAGACAATACACATAGCTATACACACGCCTATAAATAATATATTTCAATTAGAATAATCGATTCACTCTCTACTTAGATACAAAAAATAACAGATTCATGCTCTTTATAAGTTGTACAATGCATATTACCACTACTACCAATAGGTGAATAAAAGAAACGTTAAAAAAAATTCAACTGTGATTCGGTTGTAGTCTTTTTTTCCTACATTCCTAGCTGTCTTATCGGACAATACAATCGGTTTATAGGATATGTAAAAACAAAAAACTCTTAACTTAGAATGGACCGCTTTCAATGAACTAATTATAACTTGATTATTAAAATGTCATTTATTGTGAAACCTATTTAAATACAGAAGCTTTGACTTATTCTGCAACACTTCCGTTTTGATGTCACTATCGTATAGTAGAACACTTGTTTCTAAAAAGCCTAATGACATCTGATTTTTACACACTATTACGACACTAGTTCAATAATACTTTGGAATGATTGATTTAGCTTTCATACTTATATGATTATAGGTAAGAACTCATATTAGTATTGTGAAAAACTAACATAAGACAAAATTTTAATAGTAACTTTAAAATAACCCGTAACTTAGTTGGGTGAATCATAACGTCAATAACTGCTTCTGACTAAGCATTATAACAACCACGAAAAATATGCTTACATTAATAATTTTCAGTTCCCTACATTTGTCCTATAAATTAAAACTGGTTGGATTTATAAACCTGTAACTCAGTGGGTCCTGTTAATTTGAGTACAAAATAAACTGGAAAAACTGGAGTAAATAAAAAGTAGGATGCATTTACTAGGCGTTTTGTCTTAGTTTCAGACTTCTTACGAGTTCAAGAGATTTAACCTCTACAGCAGAGCCTGAAGTGTTTTGAGTATCGCTGTTAAGAAACCGTTTCCCAATTAATAGACTCAAATTCAACAGTTCATATTTTCTACTACACTAAGCTGAGAAAAATAGTGTAATTGGGTTCATCACATACATCACATAGCTCAATAAATTTATGGGTTATTAATAGTTCTGGAAGGTAAATATCTCAGTATAAACAGATAGTGAACATTTATTATTTATGGTGACAATTCACAGATACACAAATATATCCTGGTAACATTCCAACTTATGAACTCTATACTTACGCAGTTAGTCAATCTACGCACTACAAAACACTATCTAATTATTTTCCTTATCAACAGTTAACAATCTGAGTTTATTTCTAAAAAAATACTCATTATTAGACAAAGAAAAGTTAGTAGATAAACAAAGTTGGTAAACAAATGAAAATTAATTCTTAAATTAACTCACATCAGACAAAGATTAATAATAATGATGAGTGTATAAGGGTGTGACCAGCTTATGATAAAATTAGCATAAAATGGACGAATCTATTGTGAAAGGTGATCAAAATACAGATGGCAAATGGTGTCCTGAAATAATAATCATAATAACAATAATAATGAACCAATTATTCAGGAAAAATAAATATGAAATTGAATGGAACAGGAAATACAAATTGACACTGAAACAATTTATAACATTTAAAATTCAAGTGGTTCTACATTAAATGATATTTTAATAAATGAGATGGCTGAATTTTGCCAAGATTTACTGAATGTTATCAAAGAATAAACAACTTTTGTATTTTATAAGAAAAATAACAAACTTTTGGTAACACATGTTAATACGCCAAAGTTTCTAGAAAAATTTTATTTAACTGAAATTATACCTGGACAAGAATGTTCTCAAATTTAAATGTATTTATAAGAAACATTTTCATACTGAATTCTAGGTAATTTATGTATGAGTTACCTTCGATTTACTAATTACTTTCTCATGATACTTTATAGGTAACCTATACAGATGGTCCATATCAGTGGAAAATTAACAAACATTTCTCAAGTCATCAATCCTTGAGGGCGGAAAAACCTTTAAGTTAATAAAATGGTCAACGTAACTCAACAATTCTTCCTCTGTTGTTAAACTATATGGTTCCACTTGCACCAGTTTTGAATTTACATTTTACATTTGGAGAGAAACACTGAATATAGGAAATCCTAATAGAATTAGTTTTTACTATCCCAAA